GAACCAAAATTTTCAGGTATTTAGCAAATGGAACCGTCGGGTCCAAATATAATTATGGAACGGTTCGGGTTCGGTTCTGTACTATAATTAAATTTTTTAACATTTATAACAACATTATATAAATACAACTAATGACACATTCAACGGTTTTGAAATGTCAGAAACTAGTAGACTACATTGTTCAAATGATCGCTACGGTCAAAATTTCGGTTGGCGGAGGTCACAGCTTCGATCGGAAGTCACAGTGTCGGTTGACGATTGTATAGGTTTTAGAATGTCAGCGAGCCTGTGAGAGTCAAGATAGCGTTATGCACTTTAGTATAGGTGTTTAGGGATATTTAGTGGGTTGGATCTTGTTCGGCTAAGAAATGAGACAATAAAATGGGTAATTGGGTCAAAAATTAAAAAATTAGAAATGAAACAAATTATTAGGCCAAAAATTTAGATTTAGAATTTGTTAATTTGTTTTTAAAAAATTAAAATTAAAATAATTTAATTTATTCAATATACAAAAAAAAAAAAAAAAAAAAAAGATTTGTTTCTTAGTCGGTTCTTGGTTTAGAATTGAGAACTGAATCGTACCCGTCGATTCTCAATTCACATATCCGTTTGGGTATTTAATTTGACAAGAACCTTTGGTTCGGGTACCGTTCGGTTCGGTTCGGAAGATTTGCCCAGCCTTAAATGCAGAGACCAAATCTATTGTTCCGAACTTGTTATCTCCTTAACTGTCCCACCAATATATATTTGATATCTCAACGTATCATCTTTTCATAGCAAATGAGAAAATGTCAACACAATATTTGACATCTCAACTCATTACACCTTGATATCTTTCCATTTGTTATGACGAGCTGATGTTCCAAAATGTCAAAAAATATATATTAATGGAACAGCTAATGAGAGTAATTTCTACACAACATATCTAGCCTTAAAATCTCAATTCTCTTGTCATGTGCAGATACCACGTGAAATTTAGAGGGGTAATTCACCTTAAATCATCCAAAATGCAATATTTGTTTTTCTATCCCTAAGCAAGAATCCTGACTCCAACAATGCACATTCTTAATGGATCATTCAAAAATATTTTATATCAGCCATTACTTTTCGCCAACTGTTGTTTACAGGATTTGAATAGCAGATGATGCACAATTTTGAGCTTATAAAAGGGTTGTGAATCACAATAATGATTACATATGACTCGACAATTCAAATCATGTGGAATTCAAAATCATTAGCCAAAAATATATTGACAAAATTATAACTAAATCCTTTGATATTCCAATATCAAATCACTTGATTCAAAGACTGAGCTCAGGACCTTCTACGATTTTAGTGAGATTACTCATAAGAAAGTTTGGGCACCCGTTGAGAGAAATTGACTAAAGAAGAAGAATTTTTCATCTTTTCTTTCCGAAAGGCAATCAATAGACCTTGTATAATGTTTCGTGTACACAATTTAATTTATGGTATAAAGCAATCCACGATAGGTAAGAAAAGGCCAAAAATTTGAATTTCTCTGCCTAAAACCATTAACCTAGTAAGGAAAATGCAGTGGACTGTTATTTTCTGTTTCTGCATATTTTCCTACTCTCCAGTTATTTGGGAGTTCCAAAGGAGAGAATTAGCACTCAACCCCACATGATGCGCTACTCTTTAAGATAATCCATAATCAAGATGCAATCTTGCTTATCCTGCCATAGAATAAGATAGTCAGCAAGCAATGGGATTAGAACCGAAGCCCGGTTTCTCATAAAATTATAAATTAAATAAAGAAATATACTACTTGTGCATAATACAGTGTCCATAATGGTATCCACCCTCCTTGGGTCTCCTTCCATGTGAGGGGTGTGACCACCGTTATAGACACTCTGATGTACGTGTAGCATAATTCTTAAATAAAACACAGTTCAAAACCAAATATCCAAATCGAGTTAACTGAACTCATTTTTTAATAGTCAGCTTTATACCTATTATTGTGTAACTGGTAAATGAAATGTAGATTTGTGTTTCTAGTATAGCATGAGAGAATTGGTTCAGGTATGCGAATGAATCATTATTTGCACCCATAGGCCATAGCAACTTACCCGAAAAGAATATGAAGGAAACAATTTCAATATGATTCATCGCAGGAATTAGGATAAAAGAGAAACACCCAAGAGAAATATCAGGATTCCGTAATTTACTGAAGTAGTATGTAATGGCACCTCTTTAGTAATATCACATGACCGACATCACATCAAGGATTAAATAAACCAGATCCGCTCACATTTATAGCAGTAAGGACTGAGATACTAGCAATCATGGCAAGCCAAAATAAGGTCAATCCTGCATATTCAAGGTATCTTTAGTGGTACTCTGGATAAAGAAGAAAATTTTCTAGAGTTCAATTAAATTATAATTATGTAGTATATGTTAGATACCTCTAGAATTACCAGAACCACTTTCTGAAACATCCTGGTTGGATCCAGCAGTCAATATTGGCGTTGTCTCAGTATCTGCACCGGCATCTGGAGACTTAGTATTTACTGTTTCTGATGTCACTATCCCTCGGAATTCCTCACTTACAAGTAAAGCTGCTAGAACATCCACGAAAGATTCTGCATCTGTTCCAATTGAGTATTCCTTCCCACTCTGCTCAGATGTTGAGGTATCTGATTCATAAGAAAGCTCATCATCTGAAGCATCCATATCAGATCGTTTTGCAGTTCTTTCATCTTCTTCATCCTCCACATATGCTTTATATGTCAATCGCAGTAAGATTTCTCCAGCAATCCCTTTTCCAAACAGGGACCACCCTCCTCGAAGTACCACAATCTTGTCTGTTGGAACAGTATCTTTCAAAGATCCAAGATCAACCTGGAATCACTACTTAATCAGGAGGTTGGACATGAACTTTTTTAAGTCAATATATCCTTTTGTGGCTTTTTGACAAGGTGAGTTTCATAATGCTCAGGGTCTAGCAAAAAAGTAACATCTTCTAAAAACAACGAACCAATGTCGAGAAAGAAGCCAAGCAAACACAATAACAGAAAAAAGAAAATGAAAACCATGACAAACGACATCACATTATTTGTTGGCATAATATTCTAAAAGTAAAAAAGGAAACCGCTTTTCCCCTCTAGAATACTAAGCCCCTATTTGGTAGGGAAAGTCAAAATCAATAATTAATTTAAACCATATATTTCATGGGATTCATAACTTTTCTACCACATATTTTATCAACTTTTATCGAAATGTACTAAAAGTCTGATTTTAATCCCTGTCAAAAGTAGCTAAATCTCAAGAAAATTTCCCAGAAATGGAATTTTGAAGCTCTAGACTGTAGTTCCAAGTGTATAAAAGATGAAACGCCAAACAGTTCGATGTCTTAGTGATGATTTCACAGAAAATGGAGTAATATTTTCAACAAATTATTTAATGGTGTTGAAATTAGTAGATAGGAATGTTATTGTACAAAAAGAATTCAGCTTTTATAAGATGAACACGAGAAATACAATTTGTCCGCATGCAATTCCTACCAAAAGTACATAAAAAGTGTTTGGGCGATGTGGATATTATATGGTTGATGAAATTACTTCATGATATCCTAGAGTAAAAAGATGCCAGAAAGCCTATGATAGGGCAGCTTAGGGAAACGCTATAGTGAAAGTTTTCAGAGAAAAGAATATCTATAAAACATATCCACATCTTTATGGATGAGCACGATGGAGCAAGTCATGAGCATGAGATATGGTGTCGGTAATACTGGACAATTCCCTAAAGATTATAGGTTCACATCAAGATTATATTCAAGTCCTAGTCTTTCTGGTTTAGTCGTAAGTCCTTACTTCTTTGCCTTTCATATACCTTAAGAATTAAAGACAAATTCTTGACCTCTATTCAGGCCACATTTCTCTTTGAACACTACCTAAATATTGAGATATCACTTTTTAAACAGAGGGGATATGTTTTTCCATATCAACAACTTGCAATTTGTATACTTCATATAAAAGAACCAACGGAACTGCTAGGAAGGATCACAGTCTCATTCTCATAGAATCCATGAGAAAATAAGTGGTAGTATTTGCAAATTCAAGGCATCTTACCTCAGCAGTACCGACTGTAAAATCCGCAAATCCAAGAGAATCCCTTACTTCAATGTATAATTTTTCTTCCCCAGGGTTAGCAACTAACATGTGAAAATCCTGTGAAAAGGGAAAAGTGCATTATCGTTGGCAGCACATGTGTGTTTTATGACCATTATATTTCACATATTATTTGAACAGTTCTTTATGAGCACTGCAGACTCAGCAGATGCTTGGATGTAGAAAAAGAGGTCACCTGATCCCAGATTGGCTCACCAGGAGGTCCAATGACGGTAGTTTGGGTGTTTTTTTTACTGCGTATTACTTGATCTCCCAATCTCAGAACAACATATGGATCCGTTTTGCCTGAATAAGGAACGATAGTCATTGTCATACAGATACAGTATTTTATTGCTATGTGAGAAGCAAAGAACATTAAAGGGAATCAGCAAGCAGCACTTGTAGACAAGCTAATCCCAACTTATGCAACGAACTGAGAAATGTACCGCTCAAAGTGGGCACACAAATATGATGTTTAAAGGCCTCAATGTAGAGGAAAGTTCATACCATAGAAAATATAAGTGAGTTTCCGTGCATCTAGAAGAGTCACCGACAATTCTGCGGCAAAGTCCTTATTTCCCTCTTGATTTTCTCCAGGTCTTTCATTTGGAATTGGTCCAACAGCTTTTCCCTTCTGAAAATCTAGAACAATCTTATTTGGGCGCACAAATAGCCGAGGTAAATCCACAGTGAGAAGTTTCTTCAAAAACCTGGAAAGCTAAAATATTTAGTTCAGATTAAGAGTTATATTTGATATTAATAACAAACTGAACAATGCTGAAATCAATGGTAATAACTATAGAAACATTACAAGTAAAATAGAAAAACCAGCATTACAGAAAATGCGAACAGCTGACAGAACTTACAGAAAATCAAGTATAAGGTATTCGTGTTTCTGGAATTATAGCAGCAAGTTCTGATAATTTTACAATTTCATCCTATAAAGTAGCAATTAAGCTAAACTAAAATAAAGATATGATAATTATACGTACAATCAAAACATAATTTAAAAGATGATCTAGTGCACGGAGGTAAAATACTCGAACAAGTTTTGGGTCCAGAATGGAGAATGATATTGACAAATTCATAGATGAAACAACTGCAGAGGAAGCTAAAGGATATATAGCTATTTTAACAGTAAACTGTCATTATTTTGCAGTTCACCTCAACTCAGAAACATAACAAAATTTAGAGAGAGAGAAAATTTGTTCCTCTTTCTTCTTTTAGAGAAGCATTTATCTTCTTGGATCTCACAGACACAGTTCCTCACTCAAATTTTACAGTAAAGGAAAAATTAGTATCATAATTAACTGAGACATTGTTCAGTAAAAGAAAATTAATCTCAATGTTATCCAAGACCGTGTTTATCTGATGTATATCAAAGGAGAACATAATTTTTAACACCTAGGATCAAGTTATTATCAAGCTCAAAATGGACTGATATTTACAAATCAAACAGAAAAAAGGTGTGGTCAGAAAGTAAAGCAAAGAGAAGTTCTTGAATCATCATTAGGTTTACCACATTAAATGGCCATATTTCGCAATAGAAATGATGATGAATTATACAATATTAATGACTAATTAAACTAGAATAAAAAAAATAAAAAAATCCAGTTACAGCATTGAGGGACAAATTCCAATAAATCTTAATAGTAGCCAGGGAAAGAATTCACTTACTTTGAGAGGACAGGAATTGCTGAGTATTGCCAAACAACCATGAAAAAGGAAAACGTTAAGAAACAAAAATTAGAATCATATTGGGTTAATGAATCCATCAATTTTGTCAATTACAAGAATTACAGAAAACATACGGCAAGTAGAAAGTTGACTAAAATGATATATAATCAATCTCAATAGTTTAGGCATCTTAATTAAACATCAAAATTATAAGAATAGACTTCTTAAAAATCAAAACATACAGGTGAAAAAGCCCTATCAGTAACTCATTTATCATTACTAGAGAAAGTCAAAACACCAAATTTCAAGTTTTAACATTCTGTTACACTTCCTGTCCCTCATAATTGTCAAAAGACGCAGAATTGACCATCTATATAATATACTAAAGTATATACCATACTAAAGTATAGAGATCCAGCCGTAAGGGGTGACATTTCATGGAAGTAATTAACGTAAAACAAAACCTTTTGACAAGTTCAATAACTACCGTGACATGCCCTTTCTTATGCACCTCAATTCTGCTATTCTAATTTCTTTTTTTATTTTTCTGCAAAAACACTCAGTTTCCCTTACTCAGAACAGAGTATACAGTGGGTCATATTCTAGAAAAATAAATTGTGCAAGATATGAAATTATTATATACCCATTAGATTGAATAAGCGAAATGGTGACAATTCGAATTTTATCTTCGGCAGAGAAACAAATGCCCAAGAAAGAGCTCCAACCCATGGTTCTGATGGAATCAGTCGCAATTTTACCCACACTTCTCCATCAATGTCAAAGTCTCGCACACCCACTGGCACGACGATGGGAAGAATGCTGAAGTTGAGTGACAGCATTAAAAGCATTCGTGCACCACCAGTGTAACGGAGGCCTATCTGGTATCTTGATAGCAGAATAAAAATCACCAATAAGTTAAATGCAACTCTGAAGTCAAGACAAACTATTTATTTTGAATTATGAGTCAGTGAATATAAACCATCCAAATCTCGTGAATCTATGACAGTGGTACATTAAATAAATCAACATAGTAGATGTAACCAAAACCTGTAGTGAAAAGTTATAAATTATTGTTTCGCGTGATATGGGATTAAAAAAGGAACTGCTTGGACATAAATCCATACAAGTTTCTAGACACCTTAGGCTTCTAGTTTCCAAATCTGGACGGTTACATTATAACAACTACCATATTCACAACTTAGCCTCGGTTTGGGAAGAATTTATAAACAGTTTATCTATAAATTATAGAAATGAGTGCTGGATAGTACTTGTTGGTTAGTTGAAGTGTATGGTTGAAAATGAAGTTTGACTATTTGTAAATGATATTTGAATCATTTACGAATTAGCCAAACAGAGGATTACTTTCTCCATTGTCTAGACCTCTTTTGCTGTTTCTTGGTTTTAACATGTGATATATATGAACCTTTTCTTTGCAGTTATAGTTATAAAAGCTCTAACATCTTACATGTTCCATACCAAAATTCAATACGAATTTATGGCTCACTAGTTCATTTAAACTTCAGCTTCACTGTACTTCTGGAGTTTGTTTTAGAGGTACATCAAATCATCAAGATTCAGTAGTCACAAAAATATTGAAGCCATAAATATGTGTCATTCATGAAATCTGAAGATCTTAACTTTCAGAAATTCAAAATTGACAGGTTAAATTCACATCTTTGGTAACATGTGACAGCTGATACACGCTCTTGAAGATTATGCTAAAAAGCAGAAGCAAATTTTCAAGCATCGCAAAAATATATTTACAGAGGTCTCCATTCACTTTACAGTCTAGTATATTGTCCACCAGATAACCTTCGAAAAATTCATCCCACGTTCAATCTAAACTAACAAGTTTCAATTATGAAGGCAAGAAAAATGGGCATGTTAAGCTGAAATTTTCTTGAAAATGAATTAAGCATTATTGCAATAGAAAACACTCACTGCAAATCATTGATTCGCCGAGAAGTACGGCGCTCAACGCTCCTGACGGACAAGGGTTCATCCCCTAGAGAAAACTGCTTAATCTCCACCCTCTGCACATAATCTGGCTTTTTGAGATTGTCAATAACTGGCTGAAGCAAGCCAGTGATCCAATTCTCAATCCCAGCCCTGTAGACCTTCCATAGCTTCCCCAGCACCATGTTCACCCACTCGACAGATTCTTTCCTCTGCAAATCCTTCTCAAGAAACATGGACAGGTTGGCAGGCACCTGTGGCCAACTCCCAGGCTTAATGGTAATAATATTGTTCCTCTTTGGAGAGGTCCATAGCTTGTCGAAAACAACCCCTATGAAAAAGAAAAAGGCAAAGAGGCCAACAATGTTGCGGTTAATCTGAGGAGGAGTTGGGATTGGGTGCATCACTCCCAGCTGAGTTCTCAGCTTATCTACAATGGGGTCTTCTGCAAAACCGGAACTATAATAATTACCATTTGCATTCGTACCTCTACTACCTGTAACAGCATTGGATGAATTGTAATCGAATTCATCATCTGAAAATCGCTTCAAGTCTATATTTTTAGCTCCCCGTCGGGTAGCAATGTTATTGAGGTCTATGTTGAAGTGGTATTGGGAATTCCCCCCATTGATGCAAGCTTGAACCTGGAGGATTGCCCATCTCACATTTTTTATTATCCTTTTTTTCCGTGTTAAGATGTTTCTGCGTCGATAATGTTCCCGATAGCAACTATTATTATCACCACAGGAGTAGAAACTGCAAGGGGGACGGAGAGATGTGGAAGAAAAAGCCAACAGCTTTTTCTGTGAAAAATCACAGCAAAGAGGTATAGTATTTGGAGTCGATTGCAAAATCATTAAATTGCACGAACCCAACAAGCAAAACACCAATGAGACGAAGAATTCCGCCGCCCTTATACAGATAAAAACACAATCGATTCGAAAACATGAATTCTGAACTACGAGTAACTAGGTAATTTCAGTTCACAAGCATAAGCTAAAAGAAATCTCAATTCAGGAAGAGAGATTCGAACAAAAAATTGAGCTAAATGATGATTCTAGTTCACGAATTTTGATTGCGGGAGGATCAAATTGAGGTCTTGTGGCATAAAAAAAATGGGGTATAGAAAAATTTTGGTACTCTTTCTTTTTGAATTAAATAATGAAAAATTTGATTGAAGAAAAGAAATGAAGTTCACGTGGATTGGAGCCAGCCACGCTCTTTTCTGGACTGGTTCTCCGGTCGGAATTAAAATTTTAAATATCAAAATCAATAAATAATTTTAACCATAGATTAATATTTTATAAGATTCACAACTATACAACTATATATTTCATCAATTTTATTAAAATTTATTAAAAATTTTATTTTAATCTCCACCAAGCAAGAGTTAGGTTCATAGGTTCAGTACGTTTAGCTAAGATTTTGAAAGTAACGATAGATTATTATTTTAGAGACAATGTAATTATTCAATTTGAATTTTTAAATTTTTTATTATTTTTTAAGTTTTTGACTTTGAACAAAGTACGGTGCATTTCTTTTGTTTGTTTTTGATTGAAATGAATGAAATTTTGTCACAAGTCCATATTTAAATAAATATTAAATTTTGTGAAAGTTATTTGAACATGTAGCATGGTTCATCGACTTTTGTAGAAACTTTATAAATTTTTATTTAAATAATTTTAAAAAAGTTATGACGATGATCTCGATGATTTGACATGCATTATGTTAGTCATTTCACAAAAATGCTAATATTATGCCTTTTGAAAATAAGGCCTTTATTTGAGCTCCATTTTTTTGAGAAGAATGAATTTTTAAATAGTGTATTGATAAAAAAATATGTGATTAAAAAATAAAGAAAATTTTTAAATTTACGTATAATATTATTTTATTGAAGAATGTGTGATTGAAATGATATCAAAATACTGTTGAAAAATATATTTTTTAAAAAAAAAGGGACTCAAACAAGGGCAAGATATGAGTTGTCTTTATTAAAGGTTAAAATCAGTCTGATTTTTTCGTTTCTAATACACTAAAAATGTAAATTTACACATAAGTAAATAAGTACTTTTTAATGTATCGAATATTTAAACTTACTTTTTTAATGTATCGAATATTTAAACTTCTTTTAAGTTATTAATTGTATGGAATTCTTTAATTTTTTAAAAAATTTAATTTTTTTAGGGGGGCCGGGTATTGCTCTCCGTGGACAAATCCAATCAACATACTACGCTAGGGCCTAAAGCAAAATAATAATAATAATTTTCTATTGAAAATCAAGTTCTCATTAGAGATATGGACGAAGTGTTAACCCACTTACCTAAAAAAAATCTATTGTTGAAGAAGTGGGAGTGTCTCCAATAATTTTCTTTACTTTAAAGAGCGTTTCAAGGAATTTTTTAAAATAAAAAGTCAAATTATTTATACAACCGTAATAATACTTTTTATATCCATTCATTGTTTTGCTTTTTTCTACAAGCAATTATTGTTCCTTTTATACCAAAAATAAAAAAATAAAAATGGAGATGGGGAAAAAACAAAAAAGCTTCCCTCTTTTTATTTTGTAAAAATAAAAGAAATGGATAGAAATTTTTGTGATAATGAATAAAGCATTCTATTGAGAATGAATTTGATTCTTTATATTTGGAGAGCCAAATTAACTTTTTTATTTTATTTTTTGAACATAAAAAGTGTAATGAATACTTCAAAAAGATGGTTAACTCTTTAAAATAGAAAAATTGAATGTTGGAGATGTTCTAGGAACCTATTCAAAAAACTTTATAAAGAGATTATTATGTATAATAAAGACTCAAAAGAGCATTTTTATACTCAAACAATATTTTCTTTCGTTCATCATTTTGATTTTGCGAGAAATATTTATTGATTTCTTTTCATTTCTTATGTAGCATATTTTTTTTTGTATATCAATGATCAATTAATTTGAATGTGATTTGAATAATTTAATATGCAGATTATTGAGGTATATAATTTATTAAATGCAATTATTATAAATTTAAAATAAAGAGTTTTGAAATTCAATTTTAAGTATTGACTGTTTAAAATAGGAAGCCCCTGTTTGATGTACATTATTGGACCAAAAAATGAAAATTTTGATCGTTAACTATAACATCCAGTCTATTTTGTTGACTTCTCATCTATTGTGTGGGACTCAGCTTTGTGTACAACGACTAGATTTTTATTTTAATGAGACCAATAATGTGCTCCAAGTAGGGGAAAATATCTTATATTTAAATAATTTTTTTAAAGATGTTCTAAGCGTTAGAATCAAGGGGTAATTTTTAGAAAGGCTGGAAAATTGTTCCTATTTTTCACAATGGCCTCTTTTATTAAAAATATTATTTTGCCCTTACTATAGCTATTTGCAAGATGTATCTTATATCTTTAAGGATTTATCAATCAGGACCTATATCTATATTTTTCAACCTTTCAAACACCTTTAAATATTCTTTGTATCTTGATAGTTCTTCAAAAATTATAGGTTGACCTTTCTTGGTTATATATCCTCGAACTAATCCTTCTGAAATTTCTTCTTGTATATTTCTATGTTTGGTTATAATATCTTCTACCTTTCTTATCTCTTTACTAGTTCCCACAGAATCAAATCTTATTTTATTTCTACAATTATAATCTATGTCTCTATATATTTCTTCAATTTTTTCTTTGCCAATAGGAAATATATCTTCAGATTTTTCATCTAATTTAAATAAAAACGAAACATCTTTTTCATCTAAAAATAATATGAGATTATTATCATCATTAGTAGTGGAAGTGAATACTTGTGAATTGTTCATCAAAATAATTAAAACATAAGCATGTAAGAACAAGTAAATAACTTACAGTAATCAAATGGAAGTAAACAGGATTTCCCTCCAGTATGCTCTTATAGATGCTTTGCATGTACTTAATCAATTTTCTGAATCAAGTAAAGATTTAAAATGTTTTTTGAAATCATTTGGATCCACAACTGCTTTCGCAAAAGGCTTTTCAATTAAGGTTGCATTTCTCACTCTAGAGAACTAGCCGTGTTGCCACAGACACTATCTCACAGTATCCAGAGTCTCTATTTTCACCTCTATCCAAACTCTTTTCAGAATCAAGTTCCTACTTGGAACGAAATTTTAAAAGATAACTCACACACAAGGTGCTATAATTTTGTTAGAAAACTGCCCTTTTCCCCTTAAACCATTCATCAAAGACGGGTACTTTGACATGGCTAACATCCATTCAAAATCAATATTTTGAAAATCTTTTAAAATCTCTATCTGTACTGCCGAGGAATCATGAGAAACTTAACGAAATCTTTTAATGAAAGCTTTGTTGAACATAACAAACTTTACTTTGATATT